TGTTTGTTTGTTTGTTTGGAGCTCCAGGGAGCAAGCCTACTTCTCCTTCCTCTTGTTTTTCCCCACCACAACCCTGCAGTGAGATAGAAACAAGACTTGGGGGATGGGGGGAGAAACTGCTTTCTACACACACACACATGCACACAGACCCTAAGTTTGGTTTTGCTTTCCCAGGCCTTTAAATCTCAACCAAATTCAGTTCTGTTTAGAGTTCACATTGAATTCTATTTTATGTTTGAAGGATTGTCTAAAATGGGCCCATTGAGGCATTAAAGCAAACTGAAAAGGAATGAAGGATAGAAGAGTAAGCTAGAAAGAGCAAGCTGATAGGAAATTTGCCATGTCATTAAATGCTTTGGTTAATGAGTTGAATTAAGACATGGAACTGAAGCTTTCCAAATGTTTAAGTAGCTCAAAACCAGGAAACTTCATACTTCTCACTACAAATGTAACCAGGAACGGCAGCTTTTGAATATACCAGATCTGTACAACCTTTTGCTGATGGATGCAGACAGCAGGCAGACTGAATTATGTTGAAACCTTGAATTAGGCTTTGTATCACAGGTTCACCTTGCAAATCTGTATGATCCAGTCCTGGTTTTCTTCGCAGTTTTGACTGCAGTAGCTCTATATGCTAGGTTTTGATTTGGGTTAACAGGTGTTTCAAATTCTTGTTTTTATTCTGTAAGTCAGCGTTTCTCAACCTTGGCAAGTTCAAGATGTATGGACTTCAACACCCAGAATTCCCCTGCTGGCTGGGGAATTCTGGGAATTGACGTCCACACATCTTAAACTTGCTGAGGTTGGGAAGCTGCTATAAGTGATTAAAAGGGGTCAAAACAGACCTTTATAATTTTGTATCCAACCTGGGTTACATAAAAAAACAGGTGTTCTATAGCAACAAAATACAAGTTGGATAGATGTTGTTGTTTCCTTCTTTTTAGATGTTTTTAATAATCTGTAAACTCCCAGAGTCCTGGGCAATTCCAGTCATTAGAAATACAGCTGGAATAGTGGACTGGACTCAAGCTGAACTAAAGCCCTGGATAGGAAGACCAGAAAAATAATGACAATGAATCTTGCCCTTCATCCACGCAGTGATGCTGACAGGCTCTACTTACCAAGGAGCGTAGGTGGGTGTGGAATGTTGCAAGTACACCAGACAGTTGAAGAAAAAAGGGCATTGGAAGAATATCTGAAGGACAGTAAAGAAGATGCACTGAAGCTAGTACCCCATGAAGGCTTACTAAATTCCAAAGAGACCAAACTGGCCTATAAGAAAGACCAAATGAAGACTAGAAAAGAAACATGGCAAGGCAAAGTATTACATGGCTAATACACAAAAAAGTAGCAGTCAAAGCAGATAACAAGAAGACCTGGCAATGGCCAAGAGCAGGAAAGTTGAAGAAAGAGACA